TTTATCCAACTCAGCGGGCAGATTATTGAAATGATAGACAAAGCTATAGACAAAGTAGACAAGAGGGATATTAAGGATATTATGGATGGAAGCGGGTGGTTGCAATGGACAAAAGAGGTAGGTAATGGACTATCTAACGGCAACCCACGAGAGACCCTGTAGCCTGTGGTTATTCCATCTTTTACCTCCTCAGTCTATGGCAACCACCCATTTTAACCAATCGGATCGCTCCACACTCCCTATGTCCTCTTTGTCTATAGCTTTGTCTATGATTTTCCTATGAATGTCCTGTTAATGTCGGTCCAAAGGATGGTTACATGATCGCGCGAAGACGAGCGTTAGTTGACGCGGATGTTAGCAAATCCGGTTCGCTACAAAGGTAGCTGAAAATGGAGTGAGCGAAAGTGCAAGGCATCGAAGTTGGAATTCAGTTGCAGGTCGTTCCATTTACAGGGAATAAATAATGAAATCTGTCCCGGCCAAGCAGTTACGGATTGTGAAAAGTATCAAATCTGCAGACCCTATGGTCGGAGGGAATAATCTCGGACGACGCGCTCGTATTATTTCCACTGCTGCCGTATCATTCTGTTCAGTCGAATAATTTGAATCGGTGCTTCTTACAAGATGTTCTTTTGTAGAGTTGACTCTCAATCATTAGCGTTTTTCTTAAAAGGAATCCCCCAACCCCCGAAAAAATCCTGCAAATCAATAAATATGAACGCGTTTCAAACAATAATTAGCATAAAAATTGATCGAATTTAACAGGATTGCGTCGAGTTACATCTCGGAAAGAACCAGTTAGGGGTAGTTTTGGATTCAACTAATCGTACAGTTTCTGAGAGTAGGAATTCAAAATCAAGAAAACTTATTTTAAGCGTGAAAATAGTCGATCAAATTCGGCCTTGACATTTCTTGCTGAAGAATAAAACCTCAAAACTCTTTTTTTTTAGGTTTAATCTTATTGGGACTTGGCGCGTTCTTGCGGACTGATTATTGAAATTGATAAACAAAGCTTTAGACAAAGAAAACGTAGGGAGTATGGAGCGATCCTATTGGTCGTAACGGGTTGTTCTCATAGACTAGGGGAAAAATGATGAACTAGCCGTGGGGTCTCTTGTCAGATGCCGTTAGTGTGCCTATCACTTACCTCATTTGTCAATTGCAACTACCCACTTCCACCAATAACCTAGCTTCCTTTGCCTTACGTCTTCTGTATTAATCGCTTTTTCTTTAAGTTTCAATAATAAGCCCACAGAGTCTCTGGAGGCAAAAAAAGGCGCCGAAGTAAAATGCACTCTAGATTTTACTCCGAGATTTTTAACAGCATTTTCTCTATTTGAAAGGGAGAAAAAAACGGTGATGATTGACTTTATATCCAACTAATTGGACAACAATGGACCGAAGGTCGGTTCAAAAAAGGGGATGGAATAGAAAAGATATTTAAAACCGTAAAATTAAAACCCATCCGGGAAAACCCGGGATTACTAACAACTGTTAAAGAATGCGCTAATTGTTATTCATAGATGAAAAAAGTTCAGTTTTTTCCCCTGAAATGATTTCCATATTTTAATGACTGCAGTAAATGTCGTGGAACCTTTCGAAAATGGTCACCTTGCCCCGCGATTTTTTGTTCGTATTTGCACGGTACTCTCTGTTCGCCTCGCACTTATCCTCCTTTCACGCATCGTCCAATCCATACTTGTCATTCTTTTTTCATGTATAACTACCAAGTTCTCATCTTTGTACTCGCTCAAATAAAACTCTTGAATAGACTACCTTCATAGGGAGAGTATGGCCTTTCGCGGATTAGTGGCGTGGTGTTCTTTGCTATGAATCGATCGATCTGCCTTTTGAACCTATGAAAAAGGATCTATGAACAGGGTGTTTGCAGCGTGCACTTTAATGCTCGATTCTTCACCACAGCTTGAAATGGGGAAATATCGATAATCAATCATTCACGATTCGCCATTATGGTAGATCCACATTTGATTGGCTTAGCCATTTAAGGCCTCATTATGGCTCATTAAGGTCTCATGAAGGCATCATTAGACCTCATTAAGTTATCATTAGCTCTCATTAAGGCCTCATTAAGAGCTCATTAAGACTTCATGAGACCTCATTAAAGGCCCATTAGGCCTCATTAAGACCTCATTAAGACCTCATTAAGGCCTCATCAGGCCCTATTAAGGCCTCATCAGGCCCCAGTAAGGCCTCATCAGGCCCCATTAAGGCCTCATTAGGTCTCCTAGGCCTCATTAAGGCCTTAAGGAGCTCTTGAAATAAAAAACGGGGGGCAGACGTCGTATATATGCACATGATTATAAAGTGAAAATAATGAAATGCATTAACTTGTACCGCAACGGCGTGTCATCCTCTGACTCCTGTCCCTACTGTCCAGGAGTGTTTGACACCCCTGAACACAAGCTTTTCAGTTGTGCAAAGTTCTTATAAATCGCTCTTTTCCAAAGTCACAACCATCTTTTTTCTTACCGTAAGGCTCTCTCTCCAAATACTCTCCCTATATAGGTACTATTTCCGAAACTTGCCTTCATGTTCCATTTCTTGCGGAAGCATAATTTTTGACGGATGAGTCCTAATTTTCTTTCCTCTTCTTTGACGGAACTACCTTTAAGAACCGGCGCTTACCAAGACGAGCCGAGATTACAATGAGGAAGGCACTTTATATATAGCCCCGCTAGGGCTCTCATTGGTGATGCACGACTATTTCCGCGTTGCCTACGTCGCTATATGAATGACGCCCTAAAATGTTTCCGGTGGGCTAATGCAATATTCATAGTTCGCACGAGGTGATATATTCCACGCAATTTGAGCTTGCACTTAAGTTTATTGGATCAGACGCGAGTAACCCGGCAATTTTCCTCGCCCAACTTCACAGCTACCCGCACCCACGTTCCGGCACAAAGCACATACTTGAACCCGTTCTGACCATAATCTCTAAGTAACTCTCTGCAAATCAGGTTGATCGCTGTGACACGGCCTCTTGACAGGAGAACCTATTCTGTCGTGCTAAGGAAGAACGCCGTATGAGCCTTCAGGCGCTGCCATATTTCCCCTGGAAAATCACTGATCTTCAGGAAATTATTTGAATATTTGTTTTCCAATTTCTTAGGCAATTTTGTCTGTGATTTGATCTATGACGTCGGAAAATTTTAAGGAAAAATATTCATAATTTCCCTCCAAAATAAGCATTTTACTGAAGGAAATTTGGCAGCTCTCGAATTTTCATACGGCGTTCTTCCTTAGTACGGTAGTATTGATCCCCAAATGCAGAAAAGGTATGTGCCCTTGCGCCATATTTTGGCGAAATTGAATTAAGTGCGGATTCTCATTCCTTGGTTTTGGATATACCTTAGATGCAAAAAAGACATGTCTGATAATTGCAATGAATGAGGGGGGAGGGGAGGGAGCGGCGAAAAATCCAAATTTAAAGCAATGCAACTTTTCAGATCATCGCGGTATTTGAAATAACATACACAACTAGTCCATTGATACTAGATTCGAATAATAAGCACGAATTAAGCATAACCTGGTTACTGAAAATGTAACTTAGGGAATGGAAGAAATCGTTTAAAAATTGTTAATTGTTTAAAATATATAATAAAATGTAATACTAATTTTTACCATCCTTTGCAATAAATTTTGAAAAATAATAGTTTCTTAATTTTTTATAAGAATAATCATCTCCCAAAAAACCCTATGAACTTGTTAAAATGCAGAAAAGGGATATGTCCGTCGAATTGAAATCGCTACCAATCCGTATGTAAAATCATGGTATTACAAATTCATTTTAAGGCTTCAATCCTGATACTAAATGCTCTCTCAGGGTGTCTGCTGGTCCAGCAAGTCTGGAATAGCACTGATTGTTTTAAGGCGGCCCGGAAGTACCGGAAAAGTACGGAAATTCCTTATAAAGGTTCGGAATTTTTGGACTTATGCCAAGGGTATTTTTTAAAATAGCCTGGAAAATATGCAATGCAATCCACTGCGCAATTATTCTTAGTGCAGTATATTTTCCCGCTGGATCGTGATTGTAAAGCCAGTTGATGCTCAGGCCACCAATGAGCTTCAACTTTCATGGCTACGCCATTTTTTCTCGCGATTTGCGCGTGAATTTCGACAATTTTCGAATGTCGTCACTTAAAGGTACCAAAAAAGCACTGAATTTGTCTGCTTATGAGGTAGTGAATTTTTTGGTAAGGTACTGAAAAAGTACTGTAAAAGTGTCTAATATTTACCAGCCCGTTTTAGTAGACTCCCTATTATTAATGCGACACAAGAATCCCGGTATGGAAAGTTTGCAGTTTCGAAAACGCCTGCAATTGTGGCGTGATACCTCACGCATTCCGAAGAGTACGAATTGTTGTATCATTGCGCCTTAGCAATGAAATGGAAGATTAATATTGAGGTAGCCTTAACACTGGCCATGACGGTTTTCCGTCGACGCCATTACAGTTTTGACCGCATAGTTTAAGTGTGCTCAAGCTAGGGTTGTATTTAACGAATGGATAATTTTTATAAAAGTATTACAAATAAACAAGCGGTAAGAAATATAACTGAATAATAGAAATTCAAATGTACTCAAACTCAAAAGTCCTGAATTTTTCTGCTTTTGAGTCACTGACTTTTATGGAAAGGTACTGAAAAAGTACTGTAAAAGTACTCAATTTTTGTGCTTAACTTTTAGTAGACACCCTATTTATGCGGCACAAGAATCCTGGTATGGAAAATTTGCAGTCTCGAAAACGCCTTCAATTGTGGCGTGATACCTCACGCATTCCGAAGAGTACGAATAGTTGTATCATTGCGCCTTAGCACTGCAATGGATGTCTGCAAATGGAATGTCTCTATTGTCTATCTTTTCAAAAATTTTAATTTATTCTATGAATGTGTATTCAGTAGTATATAATGTGGTCTCTGAGCCAATTTTCGTAATGGGAGTGTTCTCAGTTTAAGTATTTTCCCCTCCTTTTTCCCCACAGGTTTCCTGGGTTCGACATCGAGACATCCATCTATTAACCGTAGGAAGGTACACGTACACAAGTGACCAGCGGTTCGAGGCTATTCATTCACCTCACACAGAGGACTGGACCCTGAGGATAAGATATCCGCAGCAGAAAGACACCGGGATCTACGAGTGCCAAATATCAACGACCCCTCCAATTGGTCATCCGATCTTCCTCAATGTCGTCGGTAAGTCAACTAACTTTTCGAGATCCCACTCAATTTTATTTGATTGAAAGGGAAACTTAAGCTCAAGTACGCAGCAAGAAAAAACATCATACGGTTGCGGTCTATAATACTCGATTGAATAGTCTGAAGTACTTAGTGATTTTTAGGACTTTCGGTGAAATGATAGTCTTTGTGTTCCGAATTCTGGTGGAATTGTTGTGTTTCGATCTATTTGGTAGAAGAAGAAAAAACAGTCAATTTATTTTTCTTGTTGATTCGTCAAAGTACGACAAAAAAATCACCGAAATTAAGCGGATTTAGTTGAGAACACTTGAGAGCTACTTGATTATTCATATTTTCCTTTCTCTTTGACTTTCTACCATATTTCAAGAATAATTTCACTAGTCACCACAAAAATTGTTGATAGACTTGAATAACGACGGGGGAAGCTTTAAGATTTTGGTTAGATGTCAGGTTGAGCGGTTTTACGGAAGATATATTTTCGTACTAAACCGAGTCCAGAATAACGTTTCATGTCCCTCTCCACTTGATTTTTTATGACCAATTGTACGAAGAAAATTGATAGGAGAATAATTCTCCCAAAACGACTCAAGTTTGAGGACTTTCTCCTGTCGTTTTTTCACTGAGCTGTCGGACATAGACGCCAAAATTGCTTTGCTCATCTTGATTTATGAAACCTGGCAAGGCGAGAACGGTAACTTACTCGATAAAGTTTGTAATGACCTCATTATTTTTTAATAAGCCGACATTAACTTTCAGTATTTTCCGAAAGTATATGAGGAAATTAAGATAGTCCTTAGGTTGCCAATTCGCAAATTCTAAAGGAAATAATGCAACGTAAATATATCATATAATCCAACGCCAATCTCAACCCTGTAAAAATATATTTTTCCTGCAGGGTCTACGCTACGCTACGTGGCCGCTAGGAGGTCAAACCGCTTTGCGTCCTCAAAAGGCCGCTTCCTAGGTCATATTCCAAAAGAGTCACGGAAGAGGGCTCATTTAGAAGTTATTACAGCTACCGATGATTGCGAATATCGTCAGATTCGGCTCAGTCCTTCAATCCCAGAATGAATCATAAAGATAACTTTTTTCAATTTTTAAATTAGGAAAATTTAGAATTTCATCACTTACTATAAGGAAACCTGAGTACTATGTTAAATATTTAAAGAGAGCAGGCTTGAGTAGAGGTCATTATTTGCCGATATTTGTAAAAATCACAAAATTTGGAAGTCGTAGAGTAAGAGAGCTCTTATATAGATTGCATTTTGCGAAAAGGAAGGAAAAGCATTCCAATGTTTCTAAGATCGTGCAACTTTTTTTACCTTGCAAATATAAATAGATCATCTAAACAAGTTTTATCTCCACTTTCACTAAACCATGAATTCAAGACGAAAATTACCCTCGTATATTTAATTTTTTTGCGTGATTACAGTACTTTTTTGCAAAGAATGTAAGTCACACAATCCTAGCAAATTTGAATGGTCTTGGTTTCTTTTTGTAGAATGCAATCCATATTATACAATATGTATTAAGATGTTAAAGTTTACGTGTAAAAAAAGGAAGGGCTGCAATGCACTGAGAAAAAATTATGGTTATGATTACCATATTAATGGTGTTCAATATGCACTCTTAATTAGTAGTGGCCATAACCAATAATAGTGATATTTTTACTGGAGCAGTCGTAATTTTACAAGTTTGCGATAGTAATATTACCATTTAGTGGTAAAAATATCTCTATTATTGGTTATGGCAACTACTAATGAAGAGTTTGTATTGAACATCACTAATATGGTACTTATAACCATAATTTTATCTCAATGTGAGAAGATTTACATTCTCGCTGATCAAAATGAAACTGCTTTAATGATAACTTTACTGCTAATATCTGAAGGGTGTCACCTCACCTTCGAGGTGCAATGATGAGAGTCCAAATTGCGAATAAGAACGGAGGAAAATGAGGCGCCATAAAATCCTTCCGGCACCTCCTTTTGCTCTCCTGTCACAAGCTCTTTGAAAAGAAGTGCGCGCAGGTGACAACGTCCCGTCGTACACACATACAGCTTTATTTATGTGTAAGTCTACTAACACCCCCTATCCATTTTGCGAGATGGTTATTCGCTAAACTTCGGTCAGAGATGCCGAATTTCACAACTATCCCTCTGGTGTCGTCCATGAAGAATATACTGCGAACGATTCGGTCAATTTTTCTGTCAATAGAGAGCATAAGTTTGAATTACGATCTACCAGTAATGTACCCTAAACTTAACTGATTTTAAAGTCAGTCAACCCCCGCCAAAGCGGCATGTGAAAGGACCGGCCGTTTTATCTTCTTTTTTCAGGCCGGAATTTTCGTCATTTAAGTGTCCTTCGGAGAAAAACGAAAAAGCTGGAGAGAAGGCTATCAGAATATTCGAAGTCATTATGATATAACCATATTGGGAACATAGCAACATCATAATGATGTCGAATTTATCAAACTACGCCCACTGATTATCATCATGATCTCCCGCCGATCAGTACTGATTTCATACAGATCATACTAACCACTAGGATGTCATACTGCTATCAGCATGATGTATGTCATGCATCATCAGTATGGTTTCATACGTGTATTGCATCAGTCACATACGAAAAGTATGATTATCGGGTTTTCTTTAATTTCTTTTCTCTTCTCCTCCCGTCTTCCCCCTCTATCTCAGATTTCCTCCCTTTTTCCCTGTTTACTGCCTCCCTTTTGCTCAATTTCTCTCTCTTTCTTCCCCTCCCACCCTAATTCTCTTATTTGTCTCTCTTTCTCTTTTTATCGACCTTAAACTCTCTTTTCCCCAACTTCCCGTGTTTCTCCTTTTCTCCTCTTTTTGTTTCCCTCATTCTCCCCCCCCCCTCTTTTCCCTTTTTTCTTTCAAATTCTTTCCAAAATTCCTGTTGGCATGCTTCGGTATCAAGGACTCAACTCTGAGTTTTTGTGAAATGAGCTTTTCTTTCCCGCGGATATTCGCGAACTGATTCAATTCCGGTATTAGCGTTCAAAATTTTGTCCAGTCGGGCAACATCCAGAGTGAGTCACGGAGGATTTCCTGTTCCGCTCAAGACTGTCATATTTAATGTGAGATTGTAAGTGAGCCAAGTGAGGGAGGAAGAGGGGGCAAGAGGGGGTTTCAGCGCCGTTGCCAGCCCGTGCTTCATAAACGGGACTTTATCCATTGAGCCGCTTGGGATGTATTCCATTCGATCGATAGAATTTCGGCGCGACGGTGTTCTCCGGAAAGAGTGGTAAGTGTCAAAAGGGGCCTTTTGAGAAAACGGAACTAGTAACATTGAAAATGAGACTCTTATGCAACAAATCCTCAAATTTCTGCGATTTTAAATTCGAAAGACTTTTCTAAATTGTTCAAATGATTAAGAAACGAGGAATTTCATCTTCAGCGTTATAAAAATGGCCGTTCATTTTTCATTACTACTTTATACTCATAAGAGTCAAAAACATATCACAAGAAACCCGCACTGAAAAACAAAGATTGGTAGAATTCACCATTCCTTCCATTCCTTCCTTCCACCATTCCATTTCCGAGCTGTATTTCACACAGCGTCAATTTAGAGTTAAATCTGCCAGAAGAAAGGTAAACGTTACCATATACAGTAAAAGCTCGCTAAGTCGAACTACGGTTAAGACGAAATGTCGATTAAGTCGAATTTTTTTTTCGGTCCCTAGACACGTTCATAAATGAAATGGAGAGCCGGTTAAGGTGAATTTCCGCTTAGGTTGAATTTTTCGTCGGTCCCTACACAATTCGACTTAGCGAGCTTTCACTGCACTGGTACAGGTAACCATTCCTCTGGCAGAATTGACTTGAAGATTGGTAAAATTTACCATTCCTTAACGCTGTATTTCACACAGCGTCAATTTAGAGTTAATTCTGCCAGAAGAAAGGTAAACGTTACCATATACTGGTACAGGTAACCATTCCTCTGGCAGAATTGACTTGAAGATTGGTAAAATTTACCATTCCTTCACACTGTATTCCACACAGCGTCAATTTAGAGTCAATTCTGCCAGAAGAAAGGTAAACGTTACTATATGCTGGTACAGGTAACCATTCCTCTGGCAGAATCGACTTGAAGATTGGTAGCATTTCATTGACCATTCTTTCACGCTGTGTGAAATGCTGTGGTAAAACCTACCAATCTTATTTTTCAGTGCTTCCGATGTCTTCTTTGTCTATCAATTTCAATAATCACTGGAAAAAACAACACATTGGATCTAGAGTCCAGACTCTTAAAGACATCGACAAGAAAAAGGACTCTTGATTCAATCAGATTTAAGCTTAAATCAAGAACCAAGCCTCTTAATTTGAGCGGATTTCCTTTTGATTTAAGCAAAAATCTGATTGAATCAAGAGTTCTTTTTCTTGTCAATGTTTTCAAGAGTCTGGACTCTAGATCCAATGTGGTTTTTTTTTCAGTGATTAGTCGGCAGTGGGATTTTGAAGGGAACTCGATTTGGAAAATGTTTGCCATACTGCTCGTTTGGGTGGTGTGGCAGCGCTGGGAGGAGGGTCTGCGCTCAACTCTCCCGGAGACGGTTGTCATCGGGGCCAGCGATCGAGTGACTGGATTTGGCCACGGTAATTCCTCGTTTTCGTGACGCCTGGACAAATCCTCTTCCATGTACCCGGCGTCTTGATTGAAAAAAAGAAGGAAAACCGGGCGGGAAAACACGGCTGAGGAGCATCGCGGAGCAACAGCCAACATCGATCCGCGACAGATATAGAGCGAAACACCTCTCCTCGCCAATCTCGAAAGTAAACCCCGTAACTGGATTGTGTTTGCTCTCATCCGCGCCGTATTTTTCGGTCGCCGCGACCCGAAGGAGGAGGAGGGGGGCGGAACGTGATTCTTGGTTTCGATGAGACCCCTCGAGAGATAAGAACACGCCCCCGACTTTTATATCGACGCTCAATCCAAGTTATTTGAGGCTCACCGTAATTGCACAGCCC